CATCGTTGGCCAAAAATATCCAGCCCTCAGCACCTTTCCCACCAGGGCTCGCGCCTTAATATGGTCTCCGCAGCAACCCACATGGACCTCCCTGAGCACGTAATCTCCTTCTTCCTCGGAAACGCACCTTAAATGAGGCCCTACATAAGATCTTTTGAAAAGCATTCCCTCCTGAACGAAGAATCTTAGGGCCCGTCTTCCTAGTTTATCACCCCCAACGTCTTTTTGCCCCAATCCTGCTTGTGCCAACCAATTCAATATAGGGCTTCTCCAGTCCTCCTTTTCTCCTAGCTCCATAACGGCCTCCTGTATGCTAGACCCCATTTCCAATAGGGTTACCGATCGTGACCTGCAGTCCACCAGGGAGGCTGCCACTTTTGATAGTAAGTCAGCCCTCTGATTTTCCGCCCTTGGAATCTGCACCAGTTCCCATGACTCAAAGCCTTTAATTAGCGCCTGAGCTTCTTCTGCATACCTCGCCATTCTATCCTCCTTAACCTCATACTCTCCTTTCATTTGTTCAACTACCAGCTGAGAGTCGGAGTGAATAACAACCTTCCTAGCCCCTGCGCCTGCCGCCAATTGCATCCCCTTCAGTAACGCTTCATACTCTGCCTCATTATTTGAGGCCATAAAGGTAAGCCTGACTGCAAACTCAAGGGGATCACCATCAGGTGACATAATCAATATTCCAATTCCCGCTCCCATCTTTGTTGAGGACCCATCTACATATACTTCCCAAACGCCGGGCTCATCCTCTGTCGTACCTTCCTGAATGAAGTATGCCAATGCCTGCGCCTTGATGGCCCTTCATGGCTCAAAGTTAACATTATACTCCCCCAGTTCCACTGCCCACTTTACCAGCCTTCCCGAGGCCGACGGCCTGCCCAACGTCTCCTTTAAAGGAAAATTAGTCCGCACAATAATCTCGTGGGACAAGAAGTAAGGTCTCAGTCTTCTGGCGGTGATAAGAAGAGCTAGGGCCGCCTTCTCCACCTCGGCATACTTCATTTCCGCTCCCTGCAACAACTTACTCACATAATAGATGGGTTGTTGCGCGCCTCCTTCCTCCTTCAATAAGACTGAACTTATAGCGACCTTACCGACAGAGAGATACAAAACTAGCACATCCGTCGGGTTCGGCTTGGTGAGCAAGGGTAGCTCAGCCAAAAACTCCTTTAGCCTAGTAAAGGCATCTTGCGCCTGCGCCGACCACTGAAATCGAGCCCCCTTACGGAGCGCCCGAAAGAACGGAAAACTACGCTCTGCCGCATGCGCAATGAATCGGCTAAGACCCGCCAATCGCCCAGTAAGAATTTGCACCTCCTTTATGGTCCTAGGCGGTTGCATATCCAGCACCGCCTTCACTTTCTCCGGATTAACCTCGATGCCACGCTCAGTGACCATATACCCCAAAAACTTTCCTGATCTCACTCCGAACTTACATTTTGTAGGATTAAGTTTCATCCGATACCTCCTTAGAGTCTCGAACGTCTCCCTGAAGTCCTCCACGTGATCGTCAGCCCGCTTGCTTTTGACCAGCATGTCGTCCACGTACACCTCCATGTTTTTTCCTAACTGTCCTGCGAACATCTTGTCCACCAACCGTTGATAGGTTGCTCCCGCATTACGTAGGCCGAAAGGCATAACAACATAGCAATAGGTTCCCTTGGACGTGACAAAACTCACCCGCTTCTGGTCTTCGTGAGCCAACGGTATCTGGTGATATCCTTGCGAAGCATCCATCATGCTTAACAGTTCACACCCCGATGTAGAGTCAACCAATTGGTCTATACGCGGCAACGGATAATGATCCTTAGGGCATGCTTTATTTAGGTCCCGGAAATCTGTGCACATGCGCCACTTATTTTCGGTTTTCTTCACCATCACTTGATTTGAGAGCCATTCTGGGAATTGGATGGGCTTGATATGGCCAGCTTGCAACAACTTCTCCACCTCCTTCTCGATAACAGCGTCCAACTCCGCCCCGAAATGTCGTCGCTTCTGTTTGACGGGTCTCACCCTGGGATCGATGTTTAACTTGTGCTCTGCCACCTTAGGATCAATGCCCACTAAGTCCTCCGATGTGAAAGCAAAGATATCAACATATTCCCTTAATAAAGGAACCAATCTTGCTTTAATATGCTCACCCAGCTCCTTACCCACCTTTGTTACCTTCTCACATTCCCCATCCACCAAGGCTACCTCCATGAGTTCATCTTGAGGAGTCATCTCAGTTCGGGCTTCTTTTCCTTTAGTCAAAATTTCCTCCTTGGTTCTATTCAGGCTGACCTCCATGCTCTTCCTCTTGTGACCCGCCTTCAACACCGCTTGGTAACAGGTCCTTGCTAATCTTTGATCTCCTGTCACTTCACCAACCAGCTTACCCACCGGGAACTTCATCTTCATGCAATACGTAGAAACTGCCGCTTGAAAAGCGTTCAAGCTAGGTCGCCCTAAAATGACATTATAGGCCGACTCCGCTTTAACAACCACGAAGCGAACCGCCCTAACTTTCCGTAGGGGAGAGGTCCCCAAAGCCATGGTAAGTTGCACCTCCCCAAATGGCACCACTTCCGCGCCACTGAACCCGAACAGAGAGGTCTTGATTGGTGTAATCTCCATTCCCAAGTCCATCTTCCTAAAACATTCGTAGAACATAATGTCCACCGAGCTTCCTGTGTCTACTAATATCCTTTCAACATCATAATTCGCAATTTCTGCTGTCACCACCAACGCATCATTGTGGGGCACCAAAACGCCTTGAGAGTCCCTGGCTCCGAAAGTCAACTCCGGTGTGGTATGAGCGGTCTGAACTTCTGCCACACTCTCCCAATCGGCCCTTAAGTTTGCCCGCCTGGCTCCATTAGAATCACCATCCGTTGGTCCACCAGATATCATATGGATCACTCCTCTTTTTGGAGCCCTTTCACCCTGCTCGTCCGGCCTTCTCTTCCGATCGACCCCTTCCGTATCACCCTTTTTCTCCCTATCCTGGACCACAAATTCCTTCAAGTGCCCGGCTCTTATCAGCCTCTCAATCTCGTCCTTGAGTTCTTTACAGTTATTGGTCCAATGCCCATAGTCCCGGTGATACCTACAGTAAGGGTCTCCTTTTGCTGGTACTCTTCCAGGCTTCTTTGGTAAGGGATGGGGCTTTCCTAACATCTTCGTCTCTCCACGCCTTTCCAGCATCTCAAAAACCCGCCCTCTTGGCGACGTCAGTGGAGTGTAATGCTCGTATCTAAACCCCATGCGCCCCTTGTCCTCGCTCTTATAATCCCTTCCTCCTGACTTCCTGTCTTCCGGTCTGGATTTCTCCTCGGGCTTCTTTCCCCGCGCCCGATCATGTGCCTGAAAATCTGCCTCTATTTCCTCCATATTCATATACTTGGTACATCTTTCCAACAATTCGTCGTACGATCGGGCAGGCTTCTTAGCCAAAGAAGTCCTACAATGACCCGCCTTTAACCCCCTGGTGAGGCCACCGGCCTTGATTTCTTCAGTCGTTGTAGGGACTTCCACGCACGCACGAGTAAAGCGAGCCACATACTCCCGAAGAGACTCATTGTCACGCTGTTGCATATTCATCAGAGACATGTATGTTTTTTCATGTTTTCTGGCGCTAGAGAATTGATTGATTAACAGCGAACTAAACGCACTGAAACTATAAACAGACCCCGCGGGCAGTTGGTGGAACCAATCTTGAGCTGGGCCCTTCAAGGTTGTCAAGAAGGCTCTACAACAAACGCCATCACTATATCGATGCAACACTGCCACATTTTCGAAGCTTCTGAGATGTCTTGCAGGATCTGAGGACCCATCATAGTATATACTCGGCTCCCTGAAATTCTGGGGCAAATCAGCGCCCAAAACATCGTCAGTGAAGGGATGACCCTGCATCCTGGGATGCCGCCTGCCTTCCACCCTCGCTTGGAGCTCTTTGATCTGGTTTGCCATCTGCTCCATCATCACATCCCTAGGTGGCCTAGGAATCACGGGCGATATCACCGATCTCTCCTCCTGATCGTCCCTACGGTGACTACCCCCCCTTGAAGGCCTGGACCCCACAGGCCCATGCTGCTCGGCCTCAACGACTGGCTGCTCCCTTACTACGACAGGTCGTTCTACCCTCACAGCAGATCGTTCCACCACCGCAGCCGACCTTTCGACCCTCGTCGCGGGCTTCTCCACTATCGCTGCATCTCGTGCTGCCAAAGCTCGTCCTACCGCCTCCGCGACTATGCGATCCAACTCTCCTCTAGGCACTTGCACCATCGACCCTCCATCCTCCGACACTACTACCGGCGATGCTGCTCGTATCACCAACTCCTGGCCCGCACCTTGGGTGGCAGGTCCCTGCTCCTGATTTGGTGGAGGAACCTGAGGTGCCCCTTGTATAGTAATGGGGGGCGTGGTCATCGTCCCCTCTCCGGCGACCCATCCCTTCGGCGGCCCTCCACCATAGGGCGTCTTTTCGACCCACGCCTCGTTCAAACTATCGTTCAAATTTCTCCTCGACTGCTCATCCCCGCTCGCGTTCGCCATCCTCGTACCCTCAATTGGTAGAAAAAATAGTAAGTCCCCACAGACGGCGCCAATTTGATGTGCTATTGTACCTTTAACCGGCCCTTCCTGATCCGTCTTCGTTCGAGCCTCCAAGAACCTGCAAAGACGCCGGGAAGTATCCCGGCGGTAAACCTCCGACGCTCAAGTTAGTATCGTCTCAAGAAAGGCACAATATAGATTTTAGGGTTTTTTATCACATACCTCCTGTTTCTCTGGCTGTACCTATTTATTCATAACCACTTAGCTTGTTCCCCACGCTTTGATATCTGCATATTAAATTATCTGAGCCCAATGGGCACTATGCTAGGCCCACACAAATCCGAGCCCCATAAGATCATTAGATATGGCTCCTTTTGGCCACGCTACAAATAAAACTTTCAAGTTGAGCCGCTGGCCCAACAAGTAAAAAGGTCGAGCCCCATTGGACCGAGCCCAACTAATTCGGGCCCTATTAGACTGAGCTCCGATGGGCCGAATAACTATGTGTCGGTTTACAATACCACCACCATGTGCCCCATCACAATCCTTCCTAGACGAATTCACCGTCTTCTCAAGAATGGTCTTTATCTGCTTGTTGCTCGTTTCTGCTTTGCCCGAGGTCTGTGGATGGTATGGGGTGGCCAGCTTATGCGAAATGCCGTACTTCTTCATCAATTTCTCAAAAATTCGGTTGCAGAAATGTTTGCCCCCATCGCTCACAATGGAACGTGGAAATCCAAACCTGCTCAAAATATTTTCTCACAAAAACTTGATAACCACATTAGCATCACATGACCGTGTGGGGTGTTGGTGTTATATACTTAAGCTTTGCTTTAGTGGATATTACACTTGTTATTCCTT